TTCTTCATAGATGCTGAAATGAATTCCACAGTTAGATGTGCACAAAATCATTCTCATACATCATGGAATTGTATCTCAAGTTTTCATGGAGAAAAAAAACCTAACTCCTGGAACTTCACAAAAATCAGAAAAATGATTGGAGCAACCCACATCCAACATGCTAGCATGACTTTTTAGTATTTGAAATTCAAATATTTAATTTATTTTTAAATATTATGAAAATAAAGATGCTGAATCCTGAAACAATAAATCTTAGTAACCAGCTGTCATCAATTCATTTTCAGTTCGTGGCAACATGAGTGTTTCAGAATAGAAGGAGGCTCCTTCTATTTGTCTGAGGTAGACTGCCATGCCTCTCTGCCCAGGTACCTCAGAGTGGACCCAACTGCCCACTTTCCATTAGCAGCTAAGAGGATTAACAGTTTGTACCACTCTGCCATCCTGAAATGAAAACGACTGGAAGATAAATCAGCCTACAGCCTTATGTAGGACATGTGATGGCTTTCGAGTTCAAGAGTGTAAGGTGTCAGGGGGTGGACACGACTGCATTTGCTGGCACGCACTGATGGGTGCAGAGGGAGTGATCTGACTGGAAGAAATGACTAGTAGATCACCCGTTATTTGCAAGATTAGACAGTTGAGTGACTTGTGTTTGCCTTGTTGCATATGTTGTCAGTCTTGATTTTAAAGGAATACCAAGTCTTTAAAGGAATATCAAGTCTTTAGACCATAGAATCACAGATTTACAAGCTGGAAGGGGACCTTAGATATGATTAAAAAAAACAACTTTTGTTTTATAATTGGAGGAACTAACTGCCAATCTCATAAGACTATGGTCTCCTAATAATACTGGAGTAATTAGATAAATAATACATACATACATACATATATACATACATACATACATCATACATACTGGGGCTTAGAACCATAATGCGATCAATAGCAGCCGTGGTCCCGTTTAAAAGGAAAGTTTTCCGGGTTCCAGCCCCACCGCTCCTTCACTGACTGAAGAGACAGGCTTCATAGCCTGGCGCAAGCATCTGCTAGTGGTTTTCCTCATTTGATTTTTGTCCACCTTTGTTGTTGTGGTGAAAATGTATATATACAACAAAACATACAATTCAACAATTTCTATATGTATTATTGCAACATTGCTTACCTTCTTCAAGTTGTACAACCATTCTTGCTATCCTTTTCCAAATCATTCCACACCATTAAGATAAATGGAAGGTCCTTAAGCAAAAACTACCCCTGTCTCTGTCACTCCCTCCCCTGGTAACCATGAATAACCTTCCATTTCCATATATGTACTTACTTCATGAAGTGAAATCATGCAATGTCTATCCTTTTGTGGCATGATGTTTTGATAGCGTAAAGGTTGATCCATCTGTGGTATAAGTCAGGACTTTGTCTTGATGGATGAGTAATACTCTATTGTATATGTGCACTATATATATATGTATACACTACATATACACACCACAATTAGCTTCTCCGTTAATCTATTAGCGGGTATTTTGGTGGTTTCTACAGGTAGCTGTTGTGGCAAGTGCTGCCGTGAACAGTGATTTGCAGGCTCATTCTACATCCCTCCTCTCCTTCCTTTGGGTGTAGACCTAGGCCTGGGACAGCTGCCGCACACAGTAGTTCTGTGATCACCTTTCTGAGGAAACACCAAGCTGTTTTTGAGAATGGCTGTCCCCATTTTACATTCCCACCCACAAAAAGTGAAGTTTCTAGTTTCTCCACAACTTCATCAACATCTCTTGTTTTCCGTTTCTTAGCCATTGTCATTCTAATAAGGGAAAAGCGGTGTCCTGGTGGTTTTGATCTGTATTGTCCTCAGGAGCCCTGGAGGTGTAGTTGGTAGGTTAGTATTGGGCTGCTGACCACAGATCAGCAATTCACAATGAGCAGCCACAGTGTGGGAGAGAGAGGAAGATGTACACTCTGAGAAACCCATAGGGGCAGTTCTACGCTGTCCTATCGAGTCACTGTGAGTTGGAATCTACTCCATGACAGTGAGTGAGAATTTCATTGAGCATACTTTCATATGACTATTGGCATTTGATTGTTGTCTTTGGTTAAATATTTATTCCATTTGTCCATTTTTAATTAGATTATATGTCTTTTGTTATTCAGTTATGAGAGATTTTATCTATTTAAAATTTTGTAAATTTCAATATACATATAACATACTTATATATTATACCAGGTATACCAGGTATAGGGTTCCCAAAATTTATCTCCCAATCTGTAAACTGTCTTTTTACCTTCTGATGAATTCTTTTGATGAACAAAAGTATTTAATTACGATGAGACCCCATTATCTGCTTTGTATTTACTGCTCATGTTTTTATTGTTATATCTAATCTATTGTTAAGAACTAGTCTCCTCAGCCATGCCCAATATTGAAAGAGTTTTATGGTTTGAGTTCTCACATGTAGGTTCTTGATCCATTTTTAATATGTTTTGGGGTATAATGTAAGGCATGGATCCTGATTCATTCTCTTACATATGAAAATCTTATTTTCCAAGCCTCATTTTTTAAGGAAACGCTTCCTTCTACCATTTAATGGACTTCACATCCTTGTGGAAAATCAGTTCACCATAAAGTATGGATTTATTTCTGTAGTCTCAGTTATATTCCATCAGTCTATGGGCTTAGTGTTCTACCAGCACCCAGCTGTTTAATTTTTAAATTTTATAATATGTCTTGAAAGAAGGAAATATGAGTCCTTCTACTTTATTCTTCTTCCAGATTGCTTTAGCTCCCAGGGCTTCTTCCTCTTCCAGGTCAATTTAAAGGTTGACTTTTCCATTTCTATCAAAAGACTATTAGAATTTTGATGGTGGTTGTGTTGAGTTTATAGACTGCTTTGGATAATATTTACATTTCAGCTATATGAAGTCTTTTGACCTAAAAACACAGACTGCCTAGTCATTTGTATCTTTTATGATCTCTTTTAGTCATGTTTTATCGTTTTCAATGTACAAGTCTTTTACCTTCCTGGTTAAGCTTGTTCGTAGGCACGCTGTTCTCTCAGATGCTATTGAGTTTTAAAGCTTTATTGGGATATAATTCAAATCCCAGGAAGGTCACCATTTTAAAACCTACAGCTCAGTGATTTTTAGTATCTTCACAAAGTTGTACAACCATCAGTACAAATAAGAGTTTAGAACACTTTCTTTACTGCAGAAAGAAGTCACTTCTCGGTCCTCTATCCCCAGCCCCTCACAACCATACAGGGAGGCTTCAAACAGTTCCTGGAAAAACGTAATTGAAACGTTATAGAATATTTCCACGAACTTGTTGAAGACCCCCATTTCTGGCTCAAGGGATTTGCTATTCTGGCTATTTCATGGACAATGGCTTTGGGACCTGACTTCCACCATGTAGCACCATACGGTTTTTAAGATCCACTCAGGTCGTAGCAAGTATTACAACTACATTCCTTCTTATGACAAGAATATACTGCTGTTTATGACTAAATAATAATAAAACTTCTTTTTGTTTACCAATTTATCTATTGATTGACACGGGGTTTTACTTTTGGGCTACCATTAATAATGCACTATGAATATTTCCAAGTTTTTATAGTAATATTTTCTTGAGTATATAGATAGCAGTAAAACTGAATCATATGCTAAATCAATGTTCAGTCATTTAAGGAACTTTCAGGCTGGTTTTAGAAGCACTAACATCGTATTAGGTTTCCTGTTTTGTCATAATCTCACCAAAACTCGTTATTATCTGTCTTCTTTATTTTGGCCAGAAGCCATTACTGTCACTGACTCTTAATCTGCGGCACGCGCAGTGATTGAATAACCGCCTTGTGTACTTTCCACCATCACCTCTGCAGGTTATAAACTTGGGGGACTCACACTGTACACACCTGGAAGTCCTTCCATCTCCCCAAGTGCTTATTGAGTTGAACCAATGCTGAACTAATGTCTTGTCACTTATCTCTTTATGAGATCACATTTACTCTCATCTGTGTTTAGGTTCTATGCTAGAGACGTATATACTCTGTGCACAGAGAAGAATAAATTACTTATTTGTCTCCAAATAAATAGCCTAGACAAACAGGACACTTGGAGAGTAAATGTTGGGTTAAAAGGAAACTTCAATGACTAAAGTCTAATTAGAAGACTCAGACAAAACAAGTACAGTAGTAGAAATTTATTTACAATTAATTTGGTCAACCAGAAATGAAAGGCCCATTTCTTGGGTAGTAGCCATTGTAATGGATAATGAAACTCAAGACCCAAACACCAAGCTCATTGCCATCAAGTTTGTTCCGACTCAGAAGAGGGGAGAGTCCTTCCCCCAGAGGTTTCGGAGAATGTGAGTCTTCAGGAAAGCAGAACACCTCCTCTCTTCCCACAGACCACCTGCTGGTTTCCAACTGCTGCCCTTGCCCTGAGCAGGCCAACCCACAGCGTCACCAGGTGTTGTCTGCCTCTTAGCTGCGGATTCTTTCCAGACCGGCTGTAAGATCTGCTTGATCTTATACTAGACCTCCACTAGACCAAAAATATGTTAAGGGTCACTCCGGGGACACCTCCTCAACTATTCCTGTGTGTTCTTATTGGTTACTGGACTGTAGGTTATAGGGATCTAAAAGTCAGGGACTAGATCAAGTTACTTGGTATTTAACAAGTGCTTTTAAAATTAGAATGAAATTGCAGAGATCCTGCTGACTGGAAACTAAAAGGAAAGCTAGAGCCACAGTGAAGCTGCGTGTACGTATAAAGGACGCTCCCTTACCTATCCTGCACAAAGCATATTTATGTGCATCGAGAGTTGTCCAGAACATTCCAGGAAACTAATGAATCTGCCTGGGGAGCAACTGCAGAAGTAAACGTGTTTGTAGTTGTGACATTTGCATTTCTGATTCAAAATTGTTATCAGTATGATTTATTCCATTATTTATTTAGTAGACGTAGCATTTAGATATTATAGAGCTGATAAAATGCTCCATTTTATTTTCCAGGATCAGTACAAGTTCTGCTATGAGGTGGCTCTGGAAGACTTGAATTCTGGCTGACTGCGTCAACAGTTCTACAAGCAAACCCTCTGCTGCAAAACCAAGACTCTCCTTGCTGGTTGTCTGCATAAAACAAAGACTCCTCAATATGCTTATTTTGCTTTACATACCTGGCTCTTTTAAGAGCCCAAGAAAGTGTCTATAAAACTGCCTGCACTGCCCAGTTCCCATGGTAACACTGCCACCTGCAGGACCTCACCCAGCACTGCAGTGGTCAGCACAGCTGGTCAATCGTAGAGCACAACTATATTCTTATGAAGGAATTTGTACCTTTGGGGTATTATTTTGTGGCCCGTGACCCTTTGTTATTGTTACAGCTGAGTGTACATTTTTGTTCTGTGGAGAATGCTACCTGGAATTATGATAATATATTATTTTAGTTAATATTTGTATTTTAACATATTGCATAATATAAGCTTATGTACCTTTCTAGGACTAACAGATAAACACATACTGAATAAAGATGCATTGTATGAGTTGTTCTTTCTATCAGATTTCTATTGTTTCCAAGGGAAAGGCTTGGAAGAAATTCAGTTCAAAATTGCAAAACTCGAAGATCAGATTCCAAGATCTAAAGCTTTTCCATTTGTTTATACTGTAAATATTTTTGATTTCATCAAATTATTTATTCATTAAAAGAAAATTTTGTGAATCCCAGTGAGTGACAATCATTTTTCTTAAGCCTTGAAAATAATTTACTATATGATGGTACCTTGTGTGAATCCTCAACTCAATAAATAATGACAGGTGGCATAGTCATGTTACACTCCTAGTGTCCCAGCACACGGGATGGAGGCACATGCCCCAGCCATACTGAGAGAGAGATTGTATCTAGGGCATATTTGCCCAGAGCAGATACAATTGGGACTTTGGAGAAAGAATTTTTGTCAGTAAGAAATCATGACCCATGTAGTCAGCTCTTCTGGTGGAGAGCACACACAGATGCTGGTGCCCATTGTGAGCTGTACAGACTATTAAGATACTGGTCAGACATCCAGACAGAAAATTCCTCACTGTAAGCAATGCCCTCTATTCTCTGTTTCATCATCTCAATCCGTTTGGGATAAAAACTGATCTCTGTATGCCTCACTCAACCCAAAATACACTTGTGAGAGCAATTTTTAGTGGGTCACAAAATCAAGAGAATATTTAAACAGGACACAAAGCTAAACAGGACAGATCCTACTGAAGGAGCCTCAGGATTAAAGGACAGCATGCTCAATGCCAGTCTGGGGCTGAAACCAACCCTAAAGAAGTAGCAAGCAATACCGGCACACTTGCACTATCATATGACGCTCAAGTTTTAACCTATGCTAGATCATTGCTGTTGGGCAAAGGACAGTAGCCTTCATTGAACCCCTGAGAGAGTACGTTAAAAAAAGAGTACTATAAAATGATATAAACCTTTATTAAAGAAAAATATAAAAATATGAAGCTATTGTTTTTCAACAGATCTTTCATCTAGGTCTAAAGAACCAGTGGTTCTCAACCTTCCTAATGCCACGATCCTTTAATACAGTTCCTCATGTTGTGGTGACCCCCCCCCCACCATAAAATTATTTTCGTTGCTACTTCATACTGTAATTTTGCTACTGTTATGAATCGGGTGACCCCTATGAAAGGGTCGTTTGACCCTGAAAGGGGTCACGACCCACAGGTTGAGAACCACTAAACACACTGAAGGCAACATTTCCATCTCAACCTTCCTTGAAGAGTTCTGCACTTTTTAATTTATGCTACATCAAGACAGTAGTTTTGATATCCTTGCAAACCTCAAATCAGGATTCCTTTCAATGTTTCAGGTTTGTTTTTTTTAATTTGGGGGTCAAAAAAATAATTCTGAAGGGGCAAAGGTAAGGGCTGTAAAGTGGATAGCGTAAGGCTTCCCAAGGATATTCTTGTGTACGACAACCCTTGGTGCCCTCAAAGAATGAGCAAATACCTTACTGCAATGGGAAACAATCCTTGCTCAAAGTTCTCGGCCTTGATCTCACCAATAAAGTGTGTGCTTTTCTTCCAGCATCTTCCTAGTAGCCGGTGGGTCAGCCTGTGTACTTCCGTGAGGTTTATCAAGAGCACCCTTTCGAATTGAAAAAAAAGTCACCAAAACCTTCGGATTTCACTTCTCTGCGTTGACTGTAACTGACTCGGCAGATCCCTTCACACGTCACTGTTGTGATTACGCCTTGTATGGAAGGCGCTCTAGGGAGAGTGAGACAAGTAGAATCCCGAGGGACATGACCCCCCTTCATTGACTGCAGAAACACGTTTAAACAAGTTTTGTGTGGAATAAACCCATCTGTATATGCTAGAACATGCGTAGCAGTCCTTTTTATTTACCTTCTTATTCTGTGCCAGACTTTGTGCAAGGCACTTGCCCACCTCAAAAACTACCTCCCCAACTGAGACTGGTGGAGATTTGGATGGAGCATGTGTAGAGGCTGTGTTAGGACTACATTTCCCAGAACCTCTTGCTACCTACCCCACAGAGGTCAACACTGGAACAATTGATTTCTCTCCCATTATATTGGTGAGTACGGATTCCTTGTGGTGTACTGGTTGGCGGGTCAAACCCACCAGCAGCTCCTCGGGAGAAAGACTGGACTTTCCACGCCGGTGAACAGTTCCAGTCTCAGAAACCCGTAGGACTCCCTGAACCAGCATTGCCTTGATGGCAGCGAGTGAGTGATCACGGGCGGATCCCGAACCAGACTCTGCCGTTGCGTGGATAGCAACTGGAGAATGCTGGAGTGTGAGTGATTCTGATCTACTCACCTAATGGTTAGCAGCCCAATGTATCACCGATACACCACCAGGTTTCCTCTTGTTATGATCTGCAAAGGAAAGTCCCAAAGAGCCTTGGAGAAAAAGAGTTGTGAAGATCTTAATGTCCTTAGCAAAGTCCTGATTAGCATAAACACCTGAGGTCAAAGAGAATACTCAAAGAGGTTAGAGAAAACAATAGTTAGAGTCTAACCACCTCCCTTGGGATTTCGACTCAAGCAATCAAAATAACTAGCAAAACTGCTTAGCAGGGGCTCACGGGCTGTAAATCTTTACAAAAGCAGACTGCCTCACCTTTCTTTCAGGGAGTGGCAGGAGATTTCAACTGCCTGAATTGCATTAGCAGCACAACACTCCCGGCCAGGGCTAAAATACTTCTTGTCCCCAGTGCATAGACTACCCAGAGGGGTTTACCCCAAGAATGGGACAGAATAAACCCTAGATATACTGTTTCCCTGAAAGTAAGACATCCCCCGAAAATAAGACCTACTTACAGTTTTGCCTCTCGCTGAAATATAAGGCATCTCCCTAAAAATAAGGCCTCCCCGAAAATAAGGCACCCGAAGCTACCGTAACTCTGGACTCTGGACCGTAGCACAGGGCGGCGCCGCACAGCTCACTGTTGGTCGCAGCGCAGCCGGAGCAGACAGGAAGTTTGAGGTCTCTTTTAATAAAACAATAAACAATAAAAGTGTACCTTATTCTTCATGGAAAAATAAGACCTAGCGCATCTTTGGGGGCAAAAATTAATATAAGACACTCATATTTTCGGGGAAACAGGGTAGCTGTGGTTCTGCCTAATGAGTATTACTAATTTAAAAAAATTAATGAAAGGATCAAACTATTTCTAATTAACAGTGCATTCGCAGAACAAAACTCAAGAATATTTATAATAATATGAAAATACCCAATACCCAACAAAATAAAATTTATAACATCTGGAATCCAATTCAAGTTACCAACTCAAAAATTCATTACCATTGAGTCAATTCTGACAGGATTTCCAAGATTGTAATTACGTCTGACACCTGAAAGCCTCATCTTTCTCCCATTCAAAATTACCAAGCAGACTAAAAAAATTTAAATGAAAAATGAAGTAAGATTTATCCATTGAAATTGGTCCTGTTGAAGGTAATCAAGTGGCCATCAAGCTCAGAAGCAACAAAGCCCACATGGAAGAAGCACACCAGCCTATGCAACCACGAGGTGTCGAAGGGATCAGGTATAAGGCATCATCAGAACAAAAAATCTTACCATAGTGAATGATGGGGGGAGTGCGGAGTGGAGATCCAAAGCCCATTAGTAGTAGGCCACTGGAGATCCCCTTGCAGAGGGGTCTCGGGAGGAGACGAGCCAGTCAGGGTGTGATGTAACAATGATGAGAAATACAACTTTCCTCTAGTTCCTAAATGTTTCCTCCCCGCTCCCACTACCATGACTCGAATGTCTGGTCTGGCTAGACCAGAGGATGTACACTGGTACAGATAGGAGCTGAAAATACAGGGAATCTAGGGCGGATGAGCCCTGCAGGACCAGTGGTGTGGGTGGTGAAACAGGGAGGGTAAAGGGAGAATGGGTAGGGAAGGGGTAGCCGATTGCAAGGAACTATATGTGACCTCCTCCCTGGGGACAGACAGCCAAGAAGTGGGTGAAGGGAGACATTGGACAGGGCAAGATATGACAAAATACCAATTTATAAACTATCAAGGGCTCATGAGGGAGGGGGAGAGGGGAGGGAGGGGAAAAATGAGGACCTAATGTCGGGGGTTTAAGTGGAGAGAAAATGTTTTGAGAATGATATACAAATGTGCTTTACATAATTGATGTGTGTATGGATTGCGATAACAGTTGTATGAGCCCCTAATAAAATGTTAAAAAAAAAAAAAGAAAGAAATTGGTCCTGAAATGACCAAAATGATAAACTTACTAGGCAAGGGCATCAAAGCAATTATTTTATAACTTCATTCCATATGATCAAGAATATAGATGACATATTGAACATGCCAAACAAGGGCATTGTAGACACATGTAAAAGACCCAAGAAGAACTTAAAATATAACTTGAAGAGATAAAAATTTCTAAATCTGAGGCTTAAAAAACACTTGATGAAGTCAATAGAAGATTTGAGTTTGCAGAAGTTAAGGATAGTAAATTTGAAGACATCATTAGAAGTTATAAAAAATAAAACACAAAGAATTCAAAGACTGAAAACAATGACCCAAGCATCAGTAACAGGGCAACGAACGACAAGCAACCTTATACGGGTGTGACTACAGTTCTCTCAGAGTAGGGGATAAAGTACAGGTGTGACTACAGTTCTCTCAGAGTAGGGGATAAAGTACAGGTGTGACTACAGTT